AATGGCCTCAGTTTAAAGCTCAGCTCTAATACTTACTAGCTGCGTGTGCTTACCCAAGATACTCAACCTCTCTGGACCTCAGTGACCTCATTTCCTTTTTTTTTTTTTTTTTTTGGCCGCACCGCATGGCTTGTGGGATCTTAGTTTCCCAACCAGGGATCAAACCCAGGCCCTCTGCAGTGGTAGCACAGAGTCCTAACCCCTGGACTGCCAGGGAAGTCCCCTCATTTCTTAAATAGAGATAATAATCATGCACACTCCATAGGGTTGCTCTTAAGATTAAATTATTCAATACTCATAAAGAATGTAGAACCATCTTCGAAACATAGTAAGGGCTTTGTTAAAAGAAAAATATTTGTTAAAGGAAAAATATTAAGGAGCAACCCATATTTCAGGATGGGGATTTTCCTCAGTGTTTCCAATGGTGGAAAACAGTTAAGCTATTTGAAATCTGCCAGAGGAATTGACATTTTCTCTGAGACCACAGATCCTTGGTACCTTGGTACCCTGAAACGCTCTATAGCTTAGTGGATTAAACAAAATTTAGAAGCACATAAAACCTGAATTTGAATACCCGCTCGATGATTTATTAGCTTTAAAATCCAGCCTCAGTTTCTTCCTGTGTAACAGAGGTCAATAAATTACAGACCACGTTCCAAATCTGGCCCGCCAGCTGTTTGTATAAGTAAAGTTTTATTGACAGACAGCCGCACCATTTGTTTTTGTATTCTCTGTGGCTGATTTTGTAGTACCAGGGCAGAGCTGTATAGTTCTGACAAAGACTGTTCCACAAAGCCAGAAATATTTACTATCTGGCCTTTTAGGGAACATATTTGCCAACTCTGATCTATTACACGAGAATATAATAACCTGATTTGGTTTCGGGGGAATGAAATAATAGAAAGCCAGAACCCTACCCAGTTAGGCTCAATAAAGAGTAACTTCTGTTGTTAACATAGAGACTCAAAATCTAAACCTTACACATTTTGTTAGTTTGGTTTGCTTGTTTCTCAGTCTTTTCTATCTAGGCCATTCTGTCCAAAAACAAAATATGAGCTTGACTTCCTCTTACTTGGATTAAAGTAATCTGCCACCCCACACCTGTTTTGGTGATTTCTATGGCTCTATTTATCCAAACTATTAGGGTTTATGCCCTCTTGTTTGGGAACCTTTGCTTTCTATCTCAGGGATGCTACAGTAACCATACAGGGAGCCCAAAGATTCTTGCACTGATTTGTTTTCAATTTTTAATTTTTTATTTAGAAATAATAAAATAAGACATAATATATAAAAATATGTACAATCCATGGTTTGTGCAGTACATTAGGAAGACTTTAGATACAAAAAGACAGCAAAGGGGAAAATAATAACTCTCACGATTGTCAAAGGCCAGGATTGTTCAATTCACCGCAGCCCAGAGCTGAAACCCAACATAACTAGAAAAGGGATTCTAGTTGGGAGTGAGTGACTATGCAACACTTTTTTGTTTTTCTTTTTTTTTACCTTAACATTATTGGACACAGAGTGAAAAAACACTCACTCTGTTTCTCAGAACAAGCTCTTTACCTTTACTGAGTGGCTTATCATCAAATATGAACCAACATTTGTTTTTTGTAAGAGTGACATGATTTAGGGGACAGAACTCACTGAATAAACATCAAGGCTTGAGGTGGGAGTTGACAGGGAAGAAAGGAAGTGAAGGGAAGAAATAATGCATTCATAGAATTGAAAAAAAAAAGATAAACTTTCACCAGGAATTTGGAAATGGTTTCAGAGTTATGGGTGACATCCTTAAAATGTCTGATTCAAGTATACTCTTAGGGGGATAGAAAACTATTCCTTTCTCAATAATCAAAATAGAATTCACTTTGTCTACCTTTTCTTTAAAAATAGGATAAGCAGGAATCTAGTCCCCCTCCCAAAAATATAATGCCCATCCAGATATGGGCAAAAATTCTTTAAAAGGGAATAATTCCTAAGTAAATTCAATGGGGGTTTGCTTGTCACGGAGAAGCCAACACAGATCCCGGAACAGACCCCAGATATTCACAGTGAGTCTCTTCAACCTGCATTCTAATGACATGTGTGCACTAATTAAGGAAACCCAGTCAATGACAAATGTTTTGAAGGTAAAATGCAGCAAAACAACAACAACAACAACAACAAAAACCCAAAACAAAAACCACTGTGCATTACCTGTATCTTGGCTCTTGACAAAAAAAAAAAAAAAAAAAAAAAAAAATTGCCATTTAAAGCTTGTAACTGTGAAAATACTAATAACTAGAAAAAGCTTTCAAATCAACAGTCCATGCTGAAATAAATAACAGAAGAACATAGCAATACGAACCTTATAAGGCTGGTAAATATTTGCTAAAACCATGCTAACCGGTAGCATATAGGTACTAGCTCTCAGAAATTGCTGCACTGAAATTATACTTTCTATGGCAATTTTTTTCCCTTTACAGACTTCTATTTACATTTGGCTTTAAATATGAAAATATCTGATAAACTTTATAAAATGTACACTTTAAAAACATAGCTTCTGCAAAATTTTCTTGAAAAAAAAACAAACCTGTGCACCAGAAATTTTAGATTTTTTTTTTCTCTTTTTCAGAAAGAAGTTGCAAGAGTTCCCTCCCTCATTCTTGCCCCCTCCCCACCCCCTTTCAAATATCTCAAGTCTTTTTAAGTGGCAGAGCTGTGTGATGGGAAGGTGCCTTTTCTGTGGTCACCCCCATTCTCCACTGAATCATCATTTAATTTACAGACCACTGAATACTCTTTGGTTTGATTATTTTCCTTTGCAAAAATATCGAAATAGCAGCAGCTGAAACCGTCAACATCCTCTGTCAATGGCCGAACATTTGCCATTTACAGAAGAATGTAAATTCTGTATCCACGCAATCCCTCCAACTCTCTCAACAACTTGCCTAATCTGCCTTTAAGTTTGGACTTAAAATAACATCCACTTGCTTGATATCTCTAACTTGGTTTCAGTGAAAATAACTCCACAGTGTTCAAACCCATCGACTCTGAAGGCTGAGAACAGCAGAGACTGTCCGATTATTGCAGGCACCGCATTCAGATATGGCTGTTCAAGAACCAGAGACCATCACAGACAACAGTTTACAAAATACAGGATTCTAGAACAAGCTGTTTTTTAATGGCATACAGGGATATAATACCGTAAGAGAGTTGATTTTGAGACCCCAATTAAAATGAAAAGTCAGCAACCCCAGTATTCACAAATAAGGAACTTTAAACCAAAAGAGAGTTCCATTATGTTGAGCTAGAGCAGAAAACAAGACAAAACAAAATGTTTCTAGCAAGTCAGGCAGCCAGGCAGGAGAGGCTTCTGGAAAACAATGTGCCCTAAGTAGCCTGCTCTAGGGCTCCACGGGCAAAAGGGATCAGCTCGGATTCAATCATGAGTGTGCATCCATCAAGGGGAAAGGACCCTTTTAGATCATTATCTCCTTTACTTGTGAGTCTGTTAGAATTTTCATGGCTTTTGTTGACCCTAAGTTACTGAGACATTTTCATTCCTACTCTGTACCATTAGGGAAAAAAAAAAAAAAAAGCAATGCTCCCCTCGCTCCTGAATACTTGAGCTGATGACCTCCTGTATACTTGAGCTGATGAGCTGTGTCAAAATGTCTCTTCTGCATCTTCCCACCTTCCCACTTCGGCATTCACAGCCCCCTCGGATGCTGTAGGACTCAGTCCAGACAGCCTGATCGTAAGAGCCAGCCTAGAGGCCAGGCGTGGCATCTTTTGGAAGATGCAGTCAAGCTGAAGATGTACCAGCTGTCAGGGCAAGAAATTCAGCCACAGGGGTATAAACCTATTGATCTTTCAAGTTGGATGGCTCAGCGTCAAGGATGCCAACTCATTTCAACCTAGGTCTTGTCTTCTGGAACAAATTTTGGAATGTGCAAAAAATGGAAAAACCCAGAAAAAAATCTAAGGGCACATCACCGTCTCTCAACGTCGTATGCGTTCACCTGGCTAGCACCGCCTCGAAGGAAAGAAAAGATATTTATATCGTGTGCGTGTGAATTTTTCTTCCCCTGTCTTCTTCCTCCTATAACGTGAAAGTTACATGAAGGAACAGAAATGTAAAGCACGGCACTTACTCGACTGTGTGTGTGACGTTCTGTTTTCTGAATAAGGTGCAAAAGGAGAGGGCAGTTCATGGTCTTGCTGAGGTTCAAAGTTATTGTCTCTTGATTTCAAGGCAGCCATGGGGCTTTCTTTCCTTTTTAGTATAAGCTCCACTGTGCAAAAATGTGCATTATCTTTGGTATTTATTTTAGGTAGTCTAACTTAAAATTTGAGATCACCCATTAACATCATGGAGAAAAAAAAAAAAAAAACAATAACAACAACCCAGAGGCTACCATTTGGCTAGTGTTACATAATGCCCTTATGTAACTGGAAAGAGATTGACAGAGAGAGACAGAGAGACACAGAGAGACACAGAGAGACACAGAGAGAGAGAGAGAGAAATCAATTCTAGCAAACAAATTACTGGCCTCAAAAAAATCAGGCTCTCGTTTTGGCAACTAATAGCCAAATACTTGCCACTTTGAAGCGCATATCATGAGCTCTCAAGAAAGTTCAACACTGACTTTTTAAATTACACACAAGAAAAACTACACTGCACCAGTACAACGTGTGTTCGTGTAGTTAGCAGCTTTTCAAAAGTTAAGGCAGAGTTCTTGCCTTGAAAACATTTAAAAATGTGATGCCATTTAAAAACATTCTTGTTCCCTAAAGAGAAGCATTCTGGAGACGTCAAATACCCAACCAACCAAGGCTTGCCTGCAAGTTCAAGTTTGGTATGAAAAACACAAGACAAGACATAAACGTCCCATAACTTACTCTACAACGTGTTATGTGCCATCGGGTCACGGGGGGGGGGGGCAGGCATGTTTAGTGCTTTAGGTTCATCTCTGAGCCTACAGTCTTTCTTTGAAAGCATCGTGCTAATAGCCTCAGTCCCTCGTGGTCACTTGTCTCAAACCACCTCTTCACCGGTACCGTCGTCTGCGTAACTGCTTTGGGCCTTTGACCAACAGACTGCGTTTCAAAGTAACTATTCCCGAGGAGGAATCAGTCATATCTCCGATTCTCGCCGTAAGGGCCTGGGCTCTAGGGGGACACTTGCCTGGTTGTGAAGGTCTATGTCAGGGGGCGTGTCCGTACTCGTGCTCTCTGGGACCCCGTTTTCACTGTCTTCTTCCTCTTTGCTTGTGAGGGCAACCTCATTTTCATAGCAAAAGGAATTGGCGCTGGAGAGGATGTATTTCTTCTCCGCTAAGTCCCTGGCGCTACAAAGGGGAGTGTTGGGTACTTCGTAAGTCTTGTGGAACCTCGAATAGTCCACTTTGTAGTAATGCTTCTCCTCGAAGAGGACGGGCTCGTAGCGGTGGCCCCAGAGGATTTCGTTGGCCAGGTACGAGCTCCGGCACTGCGTGGTCATGGCCGTGGCTTCCACCATGCCTTCGAGTATCACCACGATCTCAAAGTCCGCGTTGTCGATGTCCTGTTTGCTCAAATCGTATAAAGGGCTGTCCTCGTCTATCTCGTGGACGATGGTGATGGGGGACACCAGAAATATGCGGTCAATGCCGCTGTCAAAGCCGACGTTGATGTCTATTTGATCCAGGGGGATGTACTCCCCTTCGGAAGTAATCCTGGATTTGAGGAGCTGTGCTCGCACGTGCGCTTCCACCAGGTGGCTTTTCCGAAGGTTGCCCACCCGCCACATCAGACAGAGCTTGCCATCCCTCATGGCGATCACGGCGTTGTGGCTGAAGACCAGGGTCTCGTTTCTCTTCTTGGGCTTGGCCATCTTGGCCATGACCGCGCCAATGATAAAGGCGTCGATGATGCAGCCCACGATGGACTGGAAGACCACCATGAAAACAGCCACGGGGCACTCGTCTGTGACGCAGCGGAAGCCGTAGCCTATGGTGGTCTGCGTCTCGATGGAGAAGAGGAAAGCGGCCGTGAAGCTGTTGACCTCGGACACGCACGCTTTGCTCTCCTTGGATGCGTCCAGGTCCCCGTGGAGCAGCGCTATCAACCAAAACACGCAGCCGAAAAACAGCCAGGAGAGAACGAAAGCCAGGCAGAAGATAACCAGCATCCACCGCCAGCGGATGTCCACACACGTGGTGAAGATGTCCGCGAGGTACCGCTGGCCCTTCTCGCCCACGTTGATGAACTGCACGTTGCAGTGGCCGTCCTTCTTTACAAAGCGGCTCCGGCACTGCTGTCGAGTGTGGACTTTACTCTTCCCGTTCCCAAAGCCATTGGCCACCGCCAGGGTGGCCAGCTTCATGCCGTCCTCCTCCGAAGAGACGATGCTGTAGCGGTTGGTGCGTACGCTGCCCATCACTTCTGCTGTGGACGCCAGCGCTTCTGCTTTGGAAAACAGTCTGAGTTTTTGCAAAACCCTTTGGAGAAACAGGTTTGAATGTTCAGTGAAGACCCACACACACAGAAAAGAAGGAGAGATGGGGGTCTCCAAGAGCCTTGAGGTTCTTTCTACCAAGGTCTCTCTCCTGGCGTGCAGAGTCACCTTAGTAACTCAGCTGACATCCAGAGAACAGGTCCTACCAAAAAAAAAGAGAGAGAGAGAGAGAGAGAGAGAGAGAGAGAGAGAGAGATCGTTCGTTACAAAAGAAGTCATGGAAAAATGAAGTCTATTCCCTAAGACAACATTTCCTAGCCAGACACAGGGTCAGATAGAGATAAGTGTCCTCTACGTTGAATTACTGGGTTTTTCGTTTCCTTGTAGCCCCAAAGAAATAGACAGAAAAGAAAATATTTTCTTATATTTTTTAGAAGCATGAAGTCATTAAACACAGAAGAGTTAGTCGTTTGTGACAGTCTTTCAGCTGAAATCTCAGGTCTCCCTTCCCCTATTTTTTGCCAGCGATCTGGAATATTCTACTTTACAGAGCTACCTCTCTCCTCTTATTCTCTTCCTTTGCCTTCGCTACTTGCCGGGGTCCCAGGTGATTAGGCAGAAGAAAGACTTTCTAACTCCAAGGTTTGCCAGGGAGCTTTAAGAACGCGGACATGTCGGGAGAGCATTTCGCATGAACGCAGAATGTTAATATTAATTGAACAGCAGGTGCATGTTGAGAGAATATGAGAGCCCTTGATGACAAGGTGAAATCCAAAAGCACCGACTATTTTGTTTAAAAGATAAAACTGAGCAGACAGCCCTTCTAATCATCTGAAAGGGATCCCAGTTTCTGGAGACCGTTTGGGCTTATTCCGTCACTTCACACACTGAAAGCAGCCACTAGGCAGAAACGCCTGATAACATCTCTGTTAGCGCAAGTGATTCTGACTTGAAGACACAAGTTTACTCTGGGGGATACAGAGAGATCCTGTTGCCTAGCAATGAGAGTCCTGAAAGTCTCTGGAGATGGGACTGTCACGTGTGATGACAGGCTAGGAAGTAAGCACCTTTGTGCCCAAGGACCAGGTCTTTAGCGGATTGACATAAGGCTGGAACTCATTTCGTGGAAATCCAAGTCTATGTTTTCCCAAACAGAGACGACTTTGCAGTAGTAAATCATAAGGGTCCCTCAGCTGATTTTTCACTTCCAGTGCCGCTGCTTGCTCTCTGTTCCTATGGAGAACGCACTCACCTTTACTTAATGAGAACGAACAGTAGTTTTCAGTTTTCTCCTCTTGCTCCATCTCTCCCCACCCCGGCCCAGGTAAAAACCACCCGTTGACTTTGACTTTCAAATTTTGCTCCAAAGAAACTCGTTTTTCCTGGACTCACAAAAGCCTAGGAGAAAGTCTAGGGTGTTTTGTTAACCAAATACAAATTTAAAAAATGAATATAGCACAGATCTGAGAAATAAAAGTGATGCTCGACTTCTCAAACCACCAAATCTCTCTCATGTATTAAAGGGGTCAATGAACAACAGATGGACAGGATCAGAAATTTGTCGAAGCCCTGATGACGAAGACTCCACTTTTTCTTTCTCCCCCCAAGCCACATTCAGATTAAGCACTTAACAGAACCACGTTCAGCCAAGCCAGCTGCAAACAAAGAAAGCAAATCATTGATCTGTTTCGGGCACCCCCTTAAAGAGAGGCAAGGTGCATTGTCTTTGAAAATGTCTTGTTACAGTCTTTTCACTTCTCCCTTTTTATCCAAGTTATTATGCAAGAATGTGCCCCAACACATTTTTCCTGAGATTAGTCATCTGTGAAAATTGCAATGTGTGTTACATTTTGGCAGCTTTTGACACCTAAGTGATGCCTGATTTGAAAGTGCCTTTGAATTACTTTATAAAAAGAAGTTGCTGTGCCTTCCCAGCCATCCACCTGCTTCAATGTTTTGTCTGCTTCCCCATGAAGTTTGTACTTGGACAAAAGAAACAAGACTCCTATTCCTCGGGGTTCTAGATCCTGGACACGGAGAGAATTTTTTTAAACAGTGATTTCAGCTCACTCGGCTCGTATGAAATTGCCAAGCATTTCTACACAAAAACAGAGATCACAACACGACACCGAATGCAGGTGCATTTTCCAAAAAAGGGGGGGCGAGGGAGGCCTCATTTAAATAGTGCTTGTATCCCTGAGCTCTGTGTGACTTCAGAATCTTATAAGCTGACACCAAGAAATTCCCTTTTCATGATTCAAAACAATCCTTCCATCTGAGTTACCATTAGGGCCCATGAGTAGACAGTCTCAAATTTCTTCTGACTTATTTCTGCACTCTTTC